GGAGTATCTGGGGCACATTATTTCAGCAGAGGGAGTGGCGACTGATGAGAGGAAGATTGAAGCAAGGTTGAAGTGGCCAGCACCCAAAACACTGCGGGAGTTGCGGGGTTTCTTGGGTCTCACCGGTTATTACCGTAAGTTTGTCAAGAATTATGGGATGGTGGCTAGTCCTTTGAGTGATCAACTCAAAAAAGATCAGTTTGGGTGGAATCAAGCGGCGGAGGAGTCGTTTGTGGCCTTGAAGAAGGCTATGACTACAGTCCCGGTGTTGGCTTTACCGGATTTCTCTCAACCCTTTGTGGTTGAGACGGATGCTTCCGGTCATGGGCTAGGAGCAGTGCTAATGCAGAATGGCCGTCCAATTGCCTTTTACGGCCATGTTTTATCCTCTCGAGGCAGGGCACGTTCAATTTACGAGCGAGAGCTGATGGCAATCGTCTTGGCCGTGCAGAAGTGGCGACCTTATTTGCTTGGAAGGCGTTTTATCGTTCGCACTGACCAACAGAGCTTGAAATTTCTGTTAGAACAGCGGCTGATCAGTACTGAGCACCAAAAATGGGTTACTAAATTGTTGGGGTATGACTTTGACATTCAATACTGGTTGGGGATAGAAAACAAGGCCGCTGATGCGCTTTCTCGCGTGGAAGGGATGCCCTCTTTATGCACGTTATCGTTTGTACAGGGTTTGGACTATGGGGAGCTACAGCTGTAGGTGTTGTCGGATTCCCGGCTGTTGGGAGTTTATTAGGCTTTGCTACACGGGGACACCAGCTATCCTGGTTTTTTGTTGGAGCAGGGTTGGCTCTTGTACAAAGGCCGGCTAGTCCTTGCCAAGTCTTCTCTGTTTGTGGCCACCCTATTAAAGGAGGCGCATGATGGCCCGGTTGGCGGGCATTCGGGGGTGTTCAAAACTTACCGCCACTTAGCCTCCTCTTGGTATTGGGTGGGCATGTTCAAGGAAATTAAGGAGTATGTTGGTCGTTGTACGGTTTGTCAGCGCAACAAGCACTCCAATTTGTTACCCGCGGGGCTTTTGCAACCTCTCCCAATTCCGGATCAGATTTGGGAGGACTTGTCCATGGATTTTATTAAAGGCCTTCCTAAGTCTGAAGGCTATGATACTATATTGGTCGTGGTGGATAGATTGAGTAAGTATGCCCATTTCTTGGCACTTCGTCACCCTTTTACAACCCCAGCGGTGGCCCATTTGTTCATGCGGGAGGTAGTTCGCTTGCATGGGATTTCCCGTTCCATTGTGTCAGACCGCGACAAGATTTTCTTAAGCAGTTTCTGGACTGAGCTGTTTCGTCTGCACGGGACATTACTCAAGTGTAGTACCGCATATCACCCTCAGACGGACGGACAGTCAGAGGTGGTCAACCGATGTGTCGAGACGTATTTACGTTGTTTTGCGTCTGACAAACCTCGCCAATGGATGCGTTGGCTGGCTTGGGCTGAATACTGGTATAATACATCGTACCATTCTGCGGCTCATACTACACCCTTTCGTGTGGTGTATGGCCGAGATCCTCCACCCTTGATCCGATTTGGTTCTGGTAAGACAACGGTGGCGTCGCTTGAACGTAAGTTGGAGGACCGAGATGCTGCTTTGGATGAACTGAAATTACACTTTTTACGGGCACAGGATGTTGAGTTTTTGGTGGGTGACTTGGCGTTTCTCAAATTGCGTCCTTACCGGCAACTGTCATTGTCTCGTCGCAGAAATGAGAAGTTGGCTCCCCGTTTCTTTGGCCCTTATGAGGTGATACAGCGGATTGGTAAGGTGGCTTACCGTTTGCGGCTGCCAGAGTCAGCCCGTATTCACCCGGTTTTCCATGTTTCCCAACTCAAGCGTTTGGGATGTGCTGAGGCCTCTCAGGAGCTTCCTACTCAGCTTACCACAAACATGGAATTGTTGATGGAACCAGCAGCGGTGTTAGGTGTTCACCAGCCTAAGGAGAGAGTCAGCCCGTATTCACCCGGTTTTCCATGTTTCCCAACTCAAGCGTTGTTTGGGATGTGCTGAGGCCTCTCAGGAGCTTCCTACTCAGCTTACCACAAACATGGAATTGTTGATGGAACCAGCAGTGGTGTTAGGTGTTCACCAGCCTAAGGAGGGCAGTGGGGGTGTAGTGGAGGTGTTGATTCATTGGCAGGGGATGCCCGTTTTTTATGCTACATGGGAGTCCTTTTCGTCTATCCAGCACCATTTTCCCTCTTTTCACCTTGAGGACAAGGTGCAAGTTTGGGCGGCGGGTAATGATAGGCCACCGGTGCATTTTACTTACGTGAGGAGAAATAAAAGGCAGGGGCAGAATGGGAATTCTGTGGGAGGGCTGCCTATTGTAGAATGAGTGGGATGTAGGAGTAACTGTTTTGGGGGGAAATAAGGGGAAATATAGGAGTGGAAGCAGAAGGGAGTCGGTTAGAGAATTATATTGAGAAGAAATTGGAGAGTCGAGGTCTCTCGAAAACCTTTGTGTGCGTGTAGAGTGTTCGGAAAGATTCTCATTGAGTTCTTCCGATTGTTTATTCAATACAATAATTCTTGCATAATTGAATCTTTACCTGTGATTACGTATCACGATCTAGCCTGCAACTCACGGCGTGCCTCTAAAACTTGACCATGTGAATTTGGCGTTGCTAAGTGCTGGCGCAACTTCAAAAAATTCACTAAGCAGATTTTCCATGATTGGTGGAAGCAGTTCTGATTGGCCGTGGGTGGTGGTTGACCGATCACCTTTGTTGTTGGCGTCGCCAGTAATTACTAAAACATAAATATCATCCTCCTTAGCAAAAAGTACAGATTTATTTGCTTTCGGTTGTTGTGCTAGTTTACTTGGACTAAGGGGTAGTAAAGTAATGGGTTGCCCATTCCATTTAAATTCATAAACATTCTCAAACCCGTTATAAATAGCTTGAACATCATGCTGCCAAGGACGTCCGAGTAATACATGACAAGCATCCATGTCAACTATATCACAAACAATTTGATCCTGATAAAACTTTCCAATTGACAGTGGCAACGTACAAATTTCGTTGACTACTGTTTTAGCGCCTTGTTTGATCCACCCAATTTTGTAAGGTGTAGGATGAGGGCCAGATTTTAATTTTAACACCTTTACAAGCTTGCTAGAAACAATATTTTCTGAACTACCGCTATCAATAACATCACAAACCTTCTCATTAATCGTGCAGCGGGTTCGAAAATAGCATGGCACTGGAGGTGGCTTTCTTTCTTTGGTGCCAATAAAATTCATTGGACAATCAATGAAACTCTGTCACCATCATCTCCTCCATAAACCATCTCGGGTTCGTCAAGATCGTCTTCATAAAATTGATTCTCATCATACTCTTCAATGTAACCTGTTATTCTACGTTGTGGGCAATTGTTGGGGGGGTGGCCTATTTCACCACAACGATAGCATTTAACTAGACCTGGTTTGGCATAAGGATAAGTGGATTTAGAAGATTTTTCAAATTGAAAACTCAACTGATTTTTTTAAATTTCTGTCCCTCGAAATTGTCAATGGCCGGTTGAGGAGTGCCGGCGGTTCTATGGTTGACATCAGCCGGGGGACATCACCATGAAGTCGAGCATGATGTAGATAATCTGCTGAGCTGTCGTTATGCTTGGTAAGCGAAGCGGATGGTGTCCTTCAGAGTTTTAGCCGATTGCATCTCTACTCTATCTTTGATGGCAGTTTTTAGTTCCATATTATATCGTATGGCAAGATGGTCTCGGAATTCTTTCAGATTTACCCTGGCACATAAGCGATTGAAGTGGTAGTATATTCATGAACTGAAGAGGTACCCTGTTTGCAATTGTGATATTCTTCAAAAAGAATCAGCAGGTAATTAGGGGGTAAAAATTGTTCGTGAATCCTCTGTTTCATCCCTAGCCAAGAGACTATGGAAATTTTCCCTTCATTTTCTCGAGCAAGTTGCAAGTTTGCCCACCATGCTAAGGCTCCTTTTGTTAATTTAAATGATACTAAAAGAGTCTTACGGTCTTCTGCAGTACCCAATAGGAAAATAGTCTTCCACTAATTTTAGCAAATCTAGAATATCTTCAATACTTCCTTAACCGTCGAATTTCGAAATCTCCAGTTTCATCTTAAATTCATTATGTATTGGGTTATGAAGACAACGACGGTTATTGCCATTATCACTGTTATCTTCGAGATCACTGTCTTGCTCCAACATACCATCATAATAATGGTTTTGATCCTCCAAAAATTGGTTGTAACAGTAAGGAACACGGTCAGCCCTCTTTTGGTCAGGTGTTGTGGTCGGCCTGCGAGTGGGGGTTGAGACCGACAAGCAACTTGTTCGTGAATGGCGACTAGTTGTCATCCATCGTTGTTCTCTGGTTCTTGATCAGAGTCTTGGCCACCTTGTTGAATAGGTTCCCGATTATTAATAGCAACAGCACCAAACTGAATGGGTTCAACTGCGAGCGTTGCGGGGGTTGTCAGTGTTGTCGAGACATTGAAGAATTTGGGTTAGAAGTTCGTTGGTAGTTTTCTAACTAAGTTCAACTGCCGACAGTCATTCGATATCACGCACTCGAACATCGAGTTCTTCAATACCGATGAGATCTTCAACAACGGGTTCTTGAGAGGTGATTCTCTCTTTTGGCGCCATATTACTAGAATCGTAACAGTGGGCTCTGATGCCAATTGACGAAGTCTACGCAGCGGAAATAAAACAATAACAAGCCTTTGAGCTAAAAACTAGAGTTTTACTGAATAACTGAATCAATGTTGAATGTACCATGAGTACATAATTTATCGCTCTTTTGTTTTTTGATTCATAATAGGACTGAAAACTAATAATTATTGATAGAACTAGAACTAATTGAAAGATAAATGATAAAAATAAACCCAAAATAAAAATAAAGATAAAGATAGATCTTAAATATCCTAAATCTTAAGATAAATCCTAACGTTTCCTACATCAAATAGATTAAAAAAGAAAAAAAAAATTGAGGCACTTACGGTGATGTAAAATAAGTGGCTCAGAATGAAAAACAGTTCCAACACCATGCCCAACAAAACGTTCCACTACGCCATAACCATATCGCTCAGCATGCTCACTGACAATGGCACAAATAACATGTTAGGAAATTTCATAAAAAGGTGATGAAGATTAAGATAATAGTTTCCATTATTATGTTGGGCGTAAAAATAGAAACTAGCTAGTAGCCATTTATTTGTTTTATTGCCTTATTTCATTTTGACTAATTATTTAAGTTAATTTCCTTATTGTTCTAGTTTCCTATTCTGATGGTTTACGGTTAATCTTCAATTGCCTATCTATAAATAGTCCTCTCTACGTTCTTTGTTTTTCAAACTAGACGATACTGAATATTTAGGTTTCTTCTCTATCATTCATCTCTTCTTTCACTAATTCTAGCTCTCCTCTCTCTTTTCTCTAACCCTTCCTCTATTTCTCTCTTTCTCCAATTTCTCTTCTATTTCTCTCTCTTCCTACTCTCTTCTTCTCCTTACTTTCCTACATCAAGAGGTAGGTCTAATTAAAAGCAAAAACAAAAAACAAAACAAAAAACAAAACAAGACAAAACAAGACAAAACAAAACAAAACAAAAACAAAAACAAAACCAAGAAAAAAAAAATCTTTATTTCATTTGACGTATGATGGTCAAGAAAAGCAATACCTGATTCGTTTTCCAATTTTCTTAAAGCTGGCACCATCCTTGCAAAGCGCTATGCCTCTCTCCAAACATTCTTCAGTTACCTGCAACCAAATAAAGATACAGTATATTAAACTTTTAAACAATTGAAAAGAAAACAAATCCAAGAAGGGGTAGCTCAACGTATATCCTAAAAATGATACATAGTCTATATGCACGTGAATGAAATAGAAATCCGACCTTCATGGGTTTGGAATATTTAAAGTTTATAATTGCCAAACTAAGAGTACAAACTGGAGAAGAGGAAACTTGAAGATAAAGTAGAATTCACCTTAACTAGGCGTTTAACTGAATCACTGACATCCCCACATAGAAATGTCTTTGATGTATCTCCATGATATCCCTAATCAATCAAACAGAAAACCAGAAAAAAGCCTCGTTATGAAGAAAATATTTCTTGTTTAAAAAGTATAATAGCATTAACAACAGATTCAAATACATCTCATCATTTGCAAGAAAATTCAAAGATAAATGTGTCCATATGTTGATCTACAATTGCCACTCATGTTTATCACTTAGTCAACATTGGCCTTTGATCTTCATTATAGTTAAAAGAATTTAAACTACGGGAGTGAAAAGGGATATGATTGATGACGAATGACAAGAACAAACAATAAGCATAAGGCCTATAATGGAAATAAGAAGCTTACATTTAAGTAAACTGTGACGTCAATATTTATAATATCTCCATTCTGCAGAACCATGCATCGGTAGTGAGAAAAGATTTATTGTATCAAGCAAGAACCAGCAGCAAATGAAAGGAATAAAACCTGCAACTGCCGAGAATCAGGTATTCCATGGCACATGCACTCATTAATAGATGTACAAACACTCTTGGGAAATCCCCCATAACCAAGAGGTGAAGGATAAGCACCGGCATCGATGATCATTTGGTGCACTGCTTTGTCAATTTCATTTGTTGTTACTGATGGCTGATAACATGGTTAAAAAATCAATGCAATTCTAATTGAAATTTTCATGTTTTCATGTCACTGCCCTTATGACAGAACATAAAGGGATTCGCACATGATATCAAGTAAAAGCATATTTATTGCAAGAACGGAAAATAACTTCCACCAAAACTAACAACTGAACTAAATGCAACACTAGAAAATTCAAAACATTGTTTCATTTCTCAAAATTTTTCCCAAGATAAAGGACCAAAATCAAAGGTTTGGCCCTTTTGTCCCTCAATTTTGACTCTATCGGACAGTTGCCTCTCAAACTTTTAATGTGACAAATTATCCTTGAATGTAATAAAATATTACAAAGTGCTCTCAAATCGATGAATGATGTTAAATATTTAAAAAAAATGCCATTATGCATGTGACATGACATGCTTCAATTGTCATCAGAAATTTCAATTTCTTGCTTCAAACATGTAACGTGTGGGCGTTTCCATCTAAATTTTAACGGTCTCTTCTATTCAGGGTACTCTTCAACACTTGTTCAAATTCAGGAGATAATTTAAAGGGTAACTTGCCAATCCTGGAAAGTAAAGCGACAAATTCTCAAATCCAAATATGACATACAAAGTTCTTGATTGGGCTTTTGCTTGCAATTTCATAACTGCGAAACTTAGGCATAGTTATAGATAACCAACACTATGAACCTGATTTTAATGCAATCCGGCCACGATCATTGAAAAAAAAAAAAAAAAAAAAAAGCTAAAGGTGCAAATATGGCATTGCTAATTGTTATGCATCAGCTTCAAGCCATTAAGAAAATAAACAGAACCTCAGAAAGCTTTACCCTGACCAAAGTCCCCGCATACTCCAAAACCCTAGCGGCGAGCTCGCCGGCGGCTCTTATGCGAGCAATGCCTTCCTCGTCGTGAATTTGATGCTCGCTCGAAATCTCCGGCAACACGGACGAGCCGACGTACGGAGGCTTCAGAATGTGGTCCGGCACCGGCAGAGGCGGCGACACTCTCCCGCGCCTTAGCGGCGGCGGCCGCCTCACCTTTCTCGTCTTCAGAAGCTCTCGTTCTCTGCCAACGAATTACACGATTATCAGTGAAGGAATGCAAACGAAGCGACATGAATAGTGAGCTCAAAATTGAGGCTTTGCGTACCTGGTGATTCTCATGGCCTCCTCCAATCTCGAGAATCTCTTCGACCAAACGACGAGTCGTTTGGGCGAGAAAGAACGGCGGCAACTGCGGAGCGATGGTTCGGAGGTGGCGGCGGAGAAGAAGGGGACTCCAAGAAACGGAGTTGATTTTGCGGAGGTTAGAGAGAGTTCGCCATGGAAGCTGGAGAAGAGTTGCAGAGAAACCGCATGGGGCAGAGCAGCACTGAACCACATTCCCCCTGTGAGTGTAGACTCTGCTTCACTCCTAGTAAATATTGGAAATTGGAGAAACTGGAAAGGAAAGAGGATACTAGATAACGAGGAAGAAAGATAAGTTTTGGGTTGTGTTCGAAGCTGGAAACTGGGAACCAATGAAAGAAGAACAGGGCCAAGAAAGAAAAGTGGGCTCGCTGGGCTGGGTCTAATTGGAAAGATCAAATTTATAAATCTTTGAAAAATAGAGAATTTACTCTAGTTGCGAGTCTAGACATTTATTATTTATTTTTAATAAATACTCTTTTATTAATATAATTATTTAACTAAAAAAGTTATTAATCAAGAATAAAAAGTAAAAATTTTGATTCATGTATTTTTAAAGGGTACTTATCAAGATTACCCGTTATCTTTTTGGATAAGGAAAAGTCATTTATGTTTTCCAGTCACTTATTCGATGACTAAAGGTCATCTGTCAGAGTTTGTCCTCAAAGCTGGTGTCAGAGTAATTCCACAATAACTACCAATCATCTGCCGGCGCCGGTTACCAGAAGTCACTCATTGGTTGACCAAATAATTATGGAATCAAAACAGATATCATTATAAAGTTCAAATACAAACACTAAAACTAATTTTTCTAGAAAAATAAGATACAATGGTTTGCTTAGATGTAACTTTGTAACTCAAAACTATGACATATGTTTTCATGGATTCAGTTCCCATTGTATCAAAATAAGAAAGTTGAGACCCATGACATTATTTGTACTATAAAAGATTGAGATTGAGATATCTGCGATTGAGGAGAGAGAGATTAATGGAAGTTATTCATACATTTTTATGGATGTATTAGGATTCAAAACTTTCACAAAAATAGTATTCTCTAAAAGAAGTATACCTCTGATTCACGCTAATTAGAT